AGAAGTGCGCAGGGTAAGCTTCACATTTTCTGTATCTTTATTTTGGTTGAACTATATAAAGAACTTGATTATTGAAATACTTCGTAGGCCACTGATTCTTATTGATTTGTGACTTGTTTCAGAGCATCTTTATATATAAGCTAAACTGTGCCACTAATCCACCCTGGCAAAATTCTAGTCCTGGCCTGGCTGAAGGTTTTGTTTCCTGGATTGCTGTTTCTTTGTTCCTCCTGGCTAAAGGTTTTACTTACTAAATAAAGAACTAATATTATCATGAAACTACCATAAGCCGTCGAACTTATTACTATCTAGTTTGAATATTCTGAACATGGTCAGTCAAATGGTGTGATTTTGTGCATTCAATCCTCCTTTGGGTGTCATGATGAGTAGTGTGTGCATCCATATGAGTTGAGTGTCACCATGCCTTTGGTGAGTTCAACATGGTGCTGCATCATGCATTTAGATGACTACCTGAGATCTGTATCATATTGAAGAATATAATGTATGTCGATTTCTTCTTTCTTTAATTTTTCCTGTTTTTTTTTTTGGGATTTCATATTCTCAGTCAGGGCGTTTGCGGAAGCCTGTAAATTACACAGTCAATGACTTAGAAAATGATGATGTTGATGATCCACTAGATCACTGTGATACAAAATGCTCCAATGAAGAGTCAGGGGAACAACTATCCTGGGATGAGGGTAAATGCGAGGAAGGTCCTTCTCGTTTCAGTGAGAAGAAACAGCAGAATGCAGGGAACTTGTCTCCTAATGCGGGCCTGTGTAATGATTATCTTGAAACAGGAGGTGGGTTCTGCCTTGTTGAAGATGAAACTGGTGAACTTGCAGGAGGTGGGTTCTGCCCTGTTGAAGATGAAACTGGTGAACTTGGTCTCAGCCAACACCATGATCCTTCTTTCGAGGCTGAGGTTTCTGAAGACTACCATAAGATGGGAGGGAGGCTTTGCAGAGATGGTCAGGTTGGTAATGACCGAGATGAAATTGGTGTACAAGCTACAGCTGCTGCCTCTGAAGATTCCGACCTTCCCAATTTCTCCGGCTTTGTCAATAAAGTTGATTTTGGTAATGCTTCAGTTCAATCCAGCGTTGGCACCAAAAGACCTTTACAAGGATTTGAAGGTTGTGAGAGGACAGGTGCATATGATACTGAACAAATTATAAATGATGAAATAGCTTCAAAGAATGACGATCATTCGAAGTTGAGCGTGTCACTGCAGGAAAATACTGTAGATAATTCTGGAAAGACATCCGCGGGGGTAGGAGCTCTAAGTGCAATGCCTTTCCTTAGGAAAAAAAGGCGGCAGACCTGAGGCTATGCATAATTAATTCTGTAAAAATATGTCTCCGTCATTCTGTGATTATCTGCATTTATGTAATCATCATCGTGGTCTGGCATTAAGGCGCATTTGATGTCAGGCCTATTTTTAGTGGAGCCCAATTTCGTACTCATTTTATGAGCTTTACCTGGCTCAGTCACTGGCCGGTTTAGGCCTATTTAAATTTGTGGTAATTCTGCAGACATCAACTGCTGAGAATACCAATTTAGCCTTCACGTAATTCGAAAAAGAAAATCCAAGGACCCCAAAACCCACCCATGAATTTCATGTTTGGGCCTATTTTGTGGCCCACATCGGTTGTCTTGCGTCTTGGTTTGGGGTGTATCTTTGGCCCAACATCTTGGTACAGCAAAATCCTTATTGTTATTGGGGCTGTATACTGTTTTGTCAGATACAAATCGTGCGTTCAGGATTTTGCTAAAAGCAACTGTTTTTCTTTTTGGTCGAAATTGTTAAAAGCAACTAACTGTTGCTTGGTAAGATTTGTCTTGTCGTATACGTGGCACTTCATGATAGGGCCTTCCTGCAAATTTCACAAACTCTTGCGTACGTTAGCGGACGACCAAAATGTTCTTTTCTCCTGTAGGCGTTTGGTTTTCGAGAAAGTGTAGCTCGGGAAAATTTTTCCAACGTTTTCTCGAGAAAAAAATAGAAAATAAAAAACCCTAATCTCCCAAATGAAGTGTGACAGTAGTCCTCATTCCTCCTCTTAACGACGTCTTTGCATCTCCCGGCGATCAGATGCAGTCGGAATCGGCAATCTGACCGGCGAGAGAACTCCACTCCTCCAGAGATCGCTACTTCCTCTCTCCATTGACCCAGGTCTATCTCTTTCTCTCTCTCAATCTGTCTATATAAATGTATATTTTTACGTATGCTTACAAGTTACAGTCTATCACTATGAGTGAATGCATTTTGGGTCCTTGTTATAACAATTATTCTCATTGCTTGAATTTGGAAGTGGGTTTGTTGGTTCTTCTTTTGGTACTACGAAATTCTTCCATGTAGTTGGATGATCTTTCATCGGTTCATTTGGTTTTGACTTTTGTGCAAACTCTATGCTTAAGCAAATATGTAATGACTTTCTGCTTGTGAAAAGAGATTGAAGTCACCACCAATTCATATGAATTTATTTTCTTTAGGTGGAAGCATATTCATTTGTGACTAATTTGAATTCCAACCTGAAATTCTGGGTAGTTGCTATCTCAAAATTATGGTAGCCTGTAATGAAATTTGTGTCAGTTTTGCTTTTGTCAATTTAATCTGAGTAGTTAGAACCATTTCTCTCTCATTCACACCCACAAACACATCACATCTGTTTATAGAACACATACATTCCAAATCCCTACTCTATGAAATCATGTGATAGAACACGTGTTGGTTTCGTATTGTCATATAGCGTTGCCATATTAATCGTTATTATAACTTTTAGTAATAAAATGCAGTCGAAGTGGGTATTCTGTTTTGATATATATATATGCAAGTAGGTCAAAAATTGGCATCTTGGTGGCCAATTCAGGAGATTATTGCTGGGTGAAAACTGCAAGTAGTAATTGATCTTGAAAAACATTGTGCATTGTTTTTATTTCATTTCCTGCATTATGCATGTTGATACCCTTGGACTTCCTCAAGATTGTATTATAACTATTCCCACGTTTATGTTCACCATATTCTTTCATATAGCACCAAACTGCTGGTTTCTTATTTGATTGTTATTAATTTATTTTAGGAGTGTGAAATGGATCATTATGACCTCCATAGGCAGAGAAGGGATTTGAAGCACAAAGGAAGGAACGTTGTTTGGTCACTTGCAATGGATAAGTGTTTAATTGATGCCCTTGCTGTTCAAGCTAGAAACGGAAACAAAATTGACAAGTGCTTTAATGAAAATGCCTACACTGCTGCTTGTATTGCTGTGAACTCTCGTTTTAACTTAAATTTAAACAATCAAAAAGTCATTAATCGTCTTAAGACCATAAAGAAGAGGTATAAGGCAATGAAGGATATGCTTAGTCAAGATGGTTTCAGGTGGAATCCTAGTACAAAGATGATTGAGTGTGACAATGAAGAGCTTTGGAAGAGATACATCGCAGTGAGTCTTTTTCTTCTTTTATTTCTCGTGCTTTTATTTATAGTGTGCATATTAGTGATATTGTCAATTCAATAAATAGGCACACCCTGACGCAAGAGGTATTCAAGGGAAGCAGATAGAGATGTATGATGAACTAAAAATTGTATGTGGAAATTATCAAGCCCCTAGTCGCTGGGCTAAGATGAAGGATGGAGGCCATCCAAGTGACATGAAGAATTGTGAAGATGATTCTGCCTCATTTCTCTCTCCAAGCTCCGATGACCTAAGTGAGACAGATGGAACAGAGTCATATAGTGGACCAGATGAGTATACCAAGATGCCAGATGGTAGTCAAGACCCCCCTCTGATCCAGCCCCTTAGACAACTTCCAAAACGCCCTCGTGGCTCAGAAGCCCTTCAGGATGCAATGATGGCTGTGGCATCAAGCATTCGTCGCTTGGCTGATGCAATGGAGCAAAGCAAATACTCTATTGATGCCTCTGAACTACTACAGGCAGTGATGGAAATTGATGGCTTGGAAGAGGCTAAGCAGATGTATGCATTTGAGTATTTGAATGCTGACCCTGTCAAAGCTCGAGCTTTCATGGCATACAATGCTCAAATGAGAAAATTATACTTATTTAGACAGTTCTGGTGGTGGAAGTAAATGTCGACCCCAATTGTGGGGCCTTTTGGTATATAGTTCTTATTTTTACAAGAAGACTTTTATGCTGGGTGTTTACACATACTAAATCACCTGTGGTCTGTGTTTTGGGAGGTGTCTGTATAGATATTGGATATCCGCATGATCAATAGAATTGTGGCTAGCAGCCAGGATTTAGAGACATTTTCACCTTCTTGCTGCATCTTTTGCAAGCTTAAGATTGTAGTAGGATCCAGACGATTCCTTGATTTCACCATTTATCTGATCTTTTTAGTAAACTTGGAATAGCTGGTGTACCTTCCCCTCCTCTTCTTTCATCATTCAATTCTGTCATGAATTAATTTTTTTTCATTGCCTCTGCATTTTGTTCCCCCCTAACTGCCTTTTCCAAATGCTTTCAATTATTTATTGTCATTTTTTTTTTAGTTGAAACCTAAAAAGTTTGCATTGGTTGGTGAAGTAAGTAAACCCAGTTTTGGTTCATTTTTTTCGTCAAAACCGATCATATTTTTAGTGTTCATTAAAGGATCATTCATGCAAAAGTTAACACAAATCAAAACATTTGAACTAATAATAATTAAATGCCTAAACAAATTCTAATTCGAGTAAAACTATGTAGAACGTGATTCTTGAACGAGAACTTAAAAAGTGAACAATTCGAATCATGAATTTTGGAGTTGAATGGATGGTTTTCTTAAGTTAGGAAACACACAGATATCATAGGAACTTAAACTCACGACCACTTAGGAGCACACCAAAGACCTGCAAACCAACAAACACCCCATTAGTGGAGTTGAATGGAGTTACCCAACCGAATAATTAGCACTGTATTTAGTATTATCGCTTGCGCTTTTGCCAGTTATTGACTTCAATGATTTATAACTGGAAAAAGTTCCAAGGATTATGAACTATTGATAAACAATCAAGCCAAGTGACTTTCCCGGGTTAATTTTGCATGAAACAAGGTTCTTACATTCTGTTTCGAATAGCATTTCAAAATCTTCCTTTATTTGTGCATACATTTTAAAATGCAACCTAATGAGGAAACATGATCTGTAATAAATATGAATTTTATAATTTAAAAAAAAAACACCAAATATTGATATATAATGCTCTTTTTTTGTTCTCTTTCTTCCTTGATGATTTTGAGTCTGGTCGCTTACGTAGTGAACCATCTTCACAATTATTGAAATGGCAGCTCATCTTTATTACTCTGAAACCTTGAAAAATGTGTAGGACAAAATTATGTTATTGATGCCATCCATTCTTGGATCCGTTTCAAACTCAGGGTCGATATAAAAGAACACCTGCAAAAGTAAGAGGTCTTTTAGTAGAATGGTTTTGCTTAGAAAACAATTACTGATTTACAGAACACTACTTACAGGCATGTCAATCTGCTCCCCAGGAAGAAGGCGCTGCTCCTCGAAGCAAAAACACTGTATTTTATTGAAGTAAACTGCAGCCTGAAAATAAAAATAAGCAGAAATCATTATGACAGATCACTTTCTAGAAAAATAGCTATGAAATACTTCACAGGAAAAAGGAAAACAACAATTATCGCTAGTCAAGCATTCTAAATTTGAATACATAAGACTCCTACAAGCAAGCTTTCAGCTTATTATATATTGGAAAATAAAGCTTGGAAATTTCTTTTCTTTTTGCCAATTAACTGCATGCCCAAGATATCTTTCAAAATTAGCTACAGCATGATATACAACTCTCTGGACAAATTACGAAGTCTAAGGTTATAACTCTCTCGGACTCCCTTAAACATTCTAGTCAAGATGCTAACATTTTAGACCATTAAACCTCCAAAGATAATCAACATCTAAAGTAAAAATAAATCAACAACTCATTTACATGAGAGCTAGATAATCAAGGTTTATGAAACCAATAAAAATAACATATTGAAATACTGTTCATCGCAGAGTCGAGCAATCCATTTAGAACCCACATGACAAGACACTAAGAGATCGAGCAGTACCTTCATAGGGGTAACATTATACGTAGAGACACCAACTATTGGAGTTGAACTTCGATTTTCAGCGGTATAAAAAGCAAGTGCACTTTCTCCAGGTTTCACCCTTATCTTCCAGAAATAAAGCAAGAATTAGTAAAGCATCAAAATAGTAGAGAAGTCCTTTACTATGAAAAATCAGCTATAACAATTATAAATAAACATAATGTATGAGAAAAACCTCTCTTTGTGTAGGAATAAACTTCCATTGCATTCCATCAGCCACATCAGCATTGAACTGCACCACAATCTCCCTGCAGGAGGTTATCATATGGAAAAATCAATGCTGGGAACTTCATTTAATCAAAGTCATAGAATGATACATCTTGGAGAATAACACCTTTTCAGAACAAAAATATATAATTTTTTTTAAAAAATATTACAAGATTAATAAGTTTTCATAAGATAGAAACAAAACAAAGGTTACATAAAAACTTTTGAAGTTGAGTGGAACTAATGTAATTAGGACAGGGGTAGTAACCTAGCAAACATTCGTTTACTAATATCTTAGGCTTCTGGTGGAGAGGATAAATCAACCGGAGAACAAAAAATAAGGATTTAATAACTGCAAAAATATAAGAAGAGGACAAGCTACTTTTGAAGCAGAAAGCAGACCTAGTAGTGACTGTGCCATCCTTAGTATGCCGAGCAATCTTCTGCTCAACACTCTGCAGAAAGCAAAACCGTAAGGTCTTGTTGTAATCAATCAAATTGGGGAAAAAACAAACAAATTATTAAAGCCCAAATGAGCTAAAAGAATCAGACCTCACGGCGTTGGACAGTGCCTCCATACCCAGTAGCTTGGCAGAATCTTCTGTAGAGAGGAACAGCTGCATAAGTGCTTGCCACCATTGCAAAAACCAAACCCGTAAGGTACAACAGCATCTTGCGTGATTTCTGTTGTGAGGTAGCCTGAGAAGAATAGGGTCGCTGGATTCTCAACAAAGATTGAGAAGCCAATGGTGGAAGCTGACCGCACTTCTCAAAAGAGCCGAGCTTGAAGCCCCAACTAGTCCTATCATGGCTAAAATGCCTCTGATATGCACTGCTACTACTACCTCCAATGAAATTATAATTGGGTATGCATCTGGATCATCATCCATTAACAATTAACATTCAAATTTCATGCCAAAGGCAGAAGGAAATCATCAAGTTCTCTGCTTTAACAACATTTTTGTAAGCAGGCAACATACCTGGATTCACAAGGGAAATGCTGTGAGTTCTTGAAGTAAGGCGAGAGCGGAAGGGCTCTTTTGCAAACCCTTGACCATGACATGTTTGAAGAGTGCCAGAGGTCACTTGATATTCACTACTGGCAGCATATCTGCAACCAAAGAGAAAGTAAGAAGACGACTCTGCAAAATTCAACCTTGCAATCTGACAATGCCTCCCGTCGTCTTTACCCGTTCCCAACAAGTTCTCGGAGCTCGGAAGGAGAAGCAGATTGCGATTTGAGATTTGGTAGAGGTCGAAGAATTGCAAATAGAGCGAGCGCGTCGAAATAACGAGTCTAGGGTTTTGCGGTTGGGAAATGGAAGGCGTGGTTGAGTCTGAGATTTTCATTTTGGAGCGAATTGTTTGAGATTTGGGGGGCAGCTGCCACTAATGCGAGTTCGCGTGACGTGTCGTATTCATATACTGAAGCGGAGTAACCTTGAATTTTATTTATTTAATATAAGTTAAAAATGATTTAGGTAGAAATAGATACAATAATGTTATTCAAATCACATTTTTATACCACATCATATTTTCCCCATAACTCATTCAAATAAGTGAAACTCTATCATAAAAATGAAATTTGGAGGTATGACTATGTGTTTGATAGTCTGTATCAAAACTAGTAGAGTTTTTATTTTACAAATTTATAAATAAATCCAATCATAGACATGTATTTATAAAAAAATTCAAGCACTATTTAAACATAGAAACACACCCAAAATCAACTCCAAAATTAACAATTGTATATTTTTTGGGTGTGTTTATAAATGGGTTTTGAGTGTGTGTAATGATGGATTTTGTGTGTGTTTATAAAGTGTTTTGGGTGTTGAGTTTTTTTTTATAATTTCAGCCTCCATTTTGGGTGTTTTAGTGAAACTCCCTTTTTATTTTAATTATTTTCTAATAGCTTTAGTCCTATCATTGATGGCATCACTCTGATTTGATTAAATTGAAGAGATTAGTGGATTTTATTATGTAGTAGACAGTTAAATTAATCAAGAATTTGCATTTGTATTGTATGTATGTTTCTTGTTGTATATTCACAAAACTTAAATTAATCAAGAATTTGCTTCATTTTATCTTGTGGAATCCCCAAAATTGCTTCTTGTAGCAAATAGACAACATTTTTAATATTTCTTATAAAAAATAGTAATACCTTTTTCCTCTGGGTCATATATTCCTATGCTATGCTTGTTTGTGAGTAATTAGTCAAGCAATATGGGTAGAATATTTTCAGATGTATTTCATTATCCGGGAGGTATTTATAATACAAGATTACAAATTTTAGTAGAGTTATACTAAGAAATAAAAAAAATTATAATTACATAATATCTATACAAAAAAAATCATATATATATATATATATATATATATATATATATATACAA